ATATATATATATATATATATATATATATATATATATATATATATCGTCACAAACAGAACTGCCTGGTAAACCGTAGGCAGAGAGAGAGAAGAGGATATATATATAACAGGGGATTCGAGAAAACCTCACAATCGGAGAAAACCTAACAATTCTTATAGAATGAAAAAGTAAAAGTCAAACTGTTATTTTTTACACAAAAAAAACGTTTTTAATCGTTTTGCGATAAAGGAGGCAAAAAATCAGGTGAGAAGTCTAGCTTTCCTCAAAATGTGCAAGAAAACCTTTCCTTGCAAAATGCTTTTATATCACTATAAGTCATTCTCAGTAGATTGGCAAAAAAACAAAGTTCAAACAGGGTATTTTTTAAGGATGACAATGCAAACTTGAAAGATGTAAAAAAAACGTGTTTTGGTGAATACTCATTTATAGGACTATAAGTCAGTTTCCGCAGTTAGGTAAAAACCAAAACACAAAATAATTTATAGGACTATAAATCACTTTTGAACTTAACGATAAAACCCTTATCAAAAAATATATGTCATTTAAAATAAGAATACAAACAATTTTTGCCTCGGAGACACCTTGAAATTCTTAGCCAAACACGAGTTTAAAATAAAAATATAGGGAAAAAAATTAAAACAAACAATAAAAAATAATATATTTACCCATGTATGGGAAACCATGTTCAAGCGAACGTATTCACCAACAGGAGAATATGTTTGCGCGTTCAGAAAACCCCCGAATAAATTCATCGTGCTACACATCTTATAGGACTATAAACACATTTTTTTTAAATAACAAAAAATCAGGATATTTCAGTTCTTGAACCTACGGTGCTTCACCAGGTCGTGATTTTTTTATGAAAAAACCCGCTTTTTTCCTCACCCCCTCCAGTAGTTCTGAAAATTAATTTTCTGTTCTTTTTTTTGCGGATGTTTCACTTCACGTAGAATTTTGTTCCTGGAGGAGACCTGAAAAACGTGCTATCATAATCTTGAATAGATTTCGTGCAAACCTAACAATTTGTTTTGTTAGGTTTTCACGAATCCTATGTTACATATATATATATATATGCTTGTGCTGCACACACTTGATTCCTAAAATTCTCCAGCTTAAGCCAGCACCGCTCGCCCCAGGCAAAGCAAACAACTGGACGAATACATTTGAACTTTGAAGCAACTTTCAGGGATCGGTTCTACTGGACCAAAATGGTTGGCATGCCAGCCAAATACAAAAAAAGAGTTGTGCTCAGGCTGCTTCGTTCTTGTTTTTGGCATGCAGCACGATACGGGCCGGGTGGTGGTTTAAACCACCAATACTTTTCCCAGCCAATTTGTTCTGACGTGGCCATACACGCACTAGGACCTTCCGGGTTCGACCTCCCGAAACTAAATCACTAGAGCACCAACCACATTTTTCCGGTTTAGCAGCCATGCCGGTTTGACAAAACTGTCTGGCACATATGAGACGTCCACATGGAGTGAGAGATGGATGTCCCTGGTCAGCCTCAATCACACAAACCCGCCGCCATGGCACGCACACCGCACCAACGCAGGTGCACATGCGTGCGGAAATCCGCTTGCGACTTTGCGCAATGTGAAATTCCGACAATGCCACGTGAAAGCGCATGTGCAACGTTACCGCGGTCATGCATGCGGAAATTCGCTCGCAATTTTGCACAATGTCAAATTCTAACAATGTCGTGTGAAAGCGCACGTGCAACGCTGTCGGGGCCTCGCTGCTCGCTGCTCCTACCGTTGTAAGGACGTTTAATTGAAGTTGCCCCTTTTTGGGAAAACTACACGGGAGTCACAAAAATGAGTTATAATTGTACTACGGGCCAAGATACAGTTTCGAATTGCAGTTCGGGCAATGCACACAAAACCGCTTTCTGGCCAGGTAGGTTGCTGAACTGAGGCCTTGTTTTTGTTTAATCTTAAGGTAGAGCAACGACATCGGCATTTTCCAGACCATTTTTTCGATAAGGCATTAGTTTTGTTTAATAACCGGATTGGCGGGGTCTGGACCCCCTGGGTACAGTGCTTTACTTACTGGCAATTTTGGTGACCCTTGGCGCCATCTTTTTCGTGGGCCATCGGTCGACCCGCCCTTTTGACCAACCACGTCCGAAAAAAAGTTCTTAGTAGGATGAGTCGGCTGATACACAGGTTTTAGCTAGTCCTAGTAGTATAACTAGTTTCATTCTTTTTTCCTTGTTACACCAAGCGCGACCCCTGAGGAGAGTTGGCTTACTGGCAGCCGACCGAAACAGCTGTCGGGATATTGCCAACGTGCTTCATTTTATGGAGCGATGATTTATGGTTGACCGCCATCTTTTTGTTTGTACTTATTGTAATATCAAAAGTTGATGCGCTCGGGGTACTTTTCTACTTCGTCTTTTTTTCTACTTTGCTCTCTCTCTTTTTTCTTCCCCCCCCCCCTTCCCCCCCTCCCCCCGCTCCCCTGGCATCTTTTGAGGAAGAGAAGAAAAGACTGCAGGCGGAAGACACGAAACGGATCGAGGAGAAGACGAAGCGAGAACTTCAGGAAGCAAGGTTAGGGAAAATCGTTCGTTCAAGCATGAAAGTTGTATGCGAATCTGCGCTAGGAAGGAAAGTTGATCTTCCCGGTGACAAGGAAACGGAGGTTAGCAAGCTGCGCAAGGAGCTGGAGGACCTAAAGTCGAAGTGTGCAGCAATTTCGACTACATCTACCCCATCATCAAATTTGGAGACCTTACGCAAAGAGAAAGAAGCCTTGCTTAGGGTGCACGACCAGAGTAGCGAAGAACATCGGCTTCGTAAGGAGACGATCTGAAGATGAAAATCAATGGCCAACCGCCTGAGAAGAATAATGACGAAGTGCTGGCGTTGAAGCTTCAGGTGGTGGAATTAAGTGGGTTTTGCAAAGCCTTGGAGGACAAAAATTTGAAGGTGGCAACGCTTAAGTTCGAGAACAAGCATCTGCTCGACAAATTCAAGGATCTTAAGGAGGAATTCTGGTTGGTACGGGATTGTGGTAAACGATCAGCTGATGGTGTTGTTGTTACAAGCCCTCCAGAAGCGCCACAATGAGGCAAGGCACGGATCGAAGCTCGGCCACAAGTTGAAACGCATGCAATGTATACTCCGAAGGACCTTGAATCCTTGCAAAAATCGTATAAGAATGCTCTAGCCGCCAAAGACATGGCTCTTCGGGAGGCGGAAGCCTGTAAGGAACGCATGGCTAGGATGGAAGCTTCCAAGTATCATATGTCTGCTCGGAAGACTGTATTAAGGAAGAGTACTCCTAGAAACTTGAAGACTACCATGAACGCTGTTGAAGTTGAATCTGATGAAAAAAGGACGGGCGAGGCTACGAAGGACTCGGTTATTAGACGATCGGCTGCTGACGGGACACGATAATTGGAGGACGCGATGATGAATAAGTTCCGCGAGAAAAGACAAATAGAGTTGTGAGCTGGCAAAAAGGCGGACTTGGAGAAATGCTGTCAAGACCAAGGTATCACGTATATTAAGCTCGACCAAGCTAAGATGGATGTGGCGGAGATAAGAGTTCGACAAGATTTTGAGGACTGGTCAAAAAAGCGGGAAGTGGACGGAGGGGAGGAAGACACGCAGCAGGGTTATGCCACCTCAACTTATGAAATTCAGGATGAGTGAGGAGGCGCCCTAAGCGTATCTT